ACCTTACATGGCCTTCCGTGTTGATGTACAGAATCTTATAAAAGTTGCAAATTATTTATTCTGTCAGTGCACCCGTCAAATTATTAGTATTTACGAAATTCTTAGAAAACTTAGAAGGATGTAGTGCTTGCCACAGGGTGAATAGAGGGAGGGGGTGAGGCATGAGCCACACCCATGGGCATATTTGCTGTTCAGAGAGCAGAACAAACATAGATCTGTACAGTGTGGGATCTGGATTCCAGGTATCTGGACCAAAGGCAGGTTCCCTGGACCCCCATGTCTAGACACCTCACCATGGGAGGAAAGGTGTCCAGCTCTGGTATCAACAAGTTAGAGACAAAGACGGCTCTCCTGGCTCATGGCTCCAAACTCAACCCACTGGATGGAAATATTTGACTACTGAAGGAAGAGTAGTTCTGGATTTCAGGCCAAATTCATTCAATAGCTGTTTATTCAGCGCCTCTGTGTGCCAGCCAGCCCCGCCCTGGCAGTGGTGAACAAGTTTGATGTGACTCCTGTTAGCTTATGGGCATGTGAGGGAGGCAGACAGTTGGCAGGTAAATGAGAAGAGAAAATGGTTCTAAATTGTGGTAAGGACAAGGAAAGGAAACACACAGGATACTGAGACAGAGAGGACGTTGGATGGGATAGAAGGGGTGTTGCATTTCAGAGGGGAAGGCCAAGGAGGACCTCTGAATAGGTGACATTTACATGAAGGCCTGAGACAGAGGCCTTGGGAGAAGCAAATGTGGAGTCCCAAGGTGGGCCAGAACTTAGTGGTTTTGAGAAACAGAGAGAAGGTGGGAAACAGTGGTCAGAAAAAGGTGGATGGAGTGGGGTGGGCATAGGCCTCAAAGGCCTTGGGGGCTGTGGTAGAGCGTTTGAGGGTAATTCCAAAAGCAATGGGAAGCAAAGTGACCATTTTAAGCAAGAAATTGATCTGACATGCATAAAAAACAATATTCTTGAGAAATATGAACATTCTCTACTGTTTTTCTTTTTTCCTTTTTAAGCTATTAGTTTCTGAATGTTTAGTACATTCTGGGTGCTGTGCTAAGCTGTTTATATGCATTATCTTGTCTAGTATTTTCAACAGGCCTAAATTGGAGAAAACGTACTCATTTTACTGGATACTAAACTGAGGCTGAGAGAGTAAAGTAACTTTGCCAAGGCAAGTAGCAGAGGGAGATTCCAAACCCACGTCTGTTGACTTCCATGGTCTGTTGACTTCCATGGTCTGTTGACTTCAACTCTCCATGTTTGAGCCTCTAACCAATTTGTTCTCTCTTACTCTCCCTCCACCACTTTTCACAATTAAAAAATTGTGGTGTTTTACATATATGTGTGTGTGTGTGTATATATATATATATATATATATATATATATAAAATAAAATGTGCCCTTGTTGGTATTGCAAATACCAAAACTTGAATAGCAGGCTATATACCACATGGATTTAGCAAACTACAGCATATTATTAATACTACACATTCCACCAGGAAAAGTTGGCACAGGTGGGAGCATGTGATCTAAAAAAGAATTTATGCAGGATTCATAATCTTTGCTTCTTTCAAGCAAGCTTGGTTTTTTCCCTGTGCATATGGCCTGTGTTTATTTCCATATTGGGTGCGTTATTCATTCTAACTGGATGGCTTCCCTTCATTCTCTCAGCCTTTGAAAATATGATTTATTTCTGTGTTAAAAAGAAGCTATATAAAAAGGAAAGCTGTATTGAGTTAGAATTTTTAGATATTTTACTTACAGTGAGAAAGAAGAAGTTGATATAATGTAGTACAGTAATAAACATCAGTAGATTGATCAATCACCATTTACCAAAACTTCAGAGTGGTCAGCATGGCCTTAGGGTTTATGGACACACAAAAACATTTTACCTATAGGAAGATACAAATGTACAATGAGGGGAGAGAGAGCTATGGAGTAATTAAAGCAGAGTGCAGATAATCAGAGGAGGAGTGGAAGGATAGAGAAGGCGAAGAAAATGTGCTATTTTAGCCATTTTAAGTGTAAAATTCCATGGCATTAGATTCCTGTTATTGTGAGGCCATCCCCTCCATCTACTTCACCACCCTAAACAGAAACTCTGTAACTATTAAGCAACAACTCTCTATTCAGCTTTCCCCCAGTTCCTGATAACCTTTAATCCACTTTCTGTCTCTATGAAGTTGCCTATTGTCGATACTGCATTTAAGTAAAATCAGACAATATTTGTCCTTTTGTGTTTGACTTCTTTCCCTTGACATGATTTCAAGGTTCATTTATATTGTAGCACATATCAGCTCTTCATTCCTTTTCATGGCTGGATAATATTCCATTGCATGGTTGTACCTCATTTTTTAATAGTATTTATTATTATTACCATGATTATTATTATTTTGAGACAAGAATCTTGCTCTGTTGCCCAGGCTGGATTCCAATGACGCAATCTTGGCTCACTGCAACGTCTGCCCCCTGGGTTTAGGTGATTCTCATGCCTCAGTCTCCTGAGTAGCTGCAATTACAGGTGTGCACCACCACTCCCGGCTAATTTTTTGTATTTTTAGTTGAGACGAGGTTTCACCATGTTGGCTAGGCTTGTCTCAAACTCCCGGCCTCAAGTGATCTGCTTGCCTTGGCATCCCAAAATGTTGGGATTGCAGATGTGAGCCACCACGTTCAGCCCATATACCTCATTCTGTTTATTCATTTATCTCTTGATGGAAAATTACGTTGTTTCCACCTTTTGGCTATTGTGAATGAACGTTGGCATGCAAGTATCTCTGAGTTTCTGTTTCCAATTTTTTAGATCTATACTTAGAAGAGTAATTGCTGGGTCATGCGGTAATTTTGTTTAGCTTTGAGAGGAACTGCCAAACTGTTTTCCGCAGGGGCTGCACCATTTTACATTTCTATCAGCAACGTACAAGGGTTCCAATTTCTCCACCTCTTTGCCAACATTTGTTTTCCACTTTTTCCCTTGGTTTGGATCATAGCCACTCTAGTAAGTGGTAATTCATCGTGATTTTGATTTGCATTTCCCAAATGACTTGTGATGTTAAACATCTTTTCATGTGCTTGTTGGCCATTTATACAGCTTCTTTAGAGAAATGTCTATTCAAGTCATCTGCCCACTTAAAAAACTGTGTTGTTTGTCTTTTTTATGGTTGATTTGTAGGAGTTTAGAAATATGTCCTGGATATCAAGCCTGTATCAGAAATATTTTCTGATATTGTATCCCATTTTATGGGTTATCTTTTCTCTTATCTGATAATGTCCTTTGCTTCACAAACATTTTTAATTTTGATGAAGTCTAATTCATTTTTATTTTGTTGCTCCTGCTTTTGGTGTTATATCTAAGAATCCATTGCCAAATTCAACATCGTGGATAGAGATTTACTCCTATGTTTCCTCCTATTTCTTACTTTTAACCTTTAAATTCTCACCCAGATTCTGGAAGTCGTTCATTTTGCCAGCAAAACATCAGAAAAATGGGAAGTGCAGCTAAGTAAGTCACAGTGGTCTCCCGGAAGCAGCTCAGATAGTAGTGGTGGAAATAAACCTCACTGGTGATTATGCTATGAAGATATAGTCATTCATTCCCAAACACCGATGTAAGGATCTTTTCTGGTTCACTAATGTTTGTGGAAAAATGATTTAAAAAGTCAAATTTTCATAAAGTGAAGTTTATTCCATTTAAATAACTGTCCATCATTGTGCAAGTGGCTGCCTTTTATGACATTAGCATGTTCTTGTGGCCTGAGGCTAAGAGTAGATGATGATAGTTTCTTTAAATAGCTGTACTTGGAAAATTGAGAGTGATCAACTCTGTGTCACACTTCCTAATTTGAGGAGGAAACTATAAAATTTAAGGGTTTAGAAGACACTGCAGATGCTAGAGTTCATTTATGTGGGCCTACGAAGCATGCTGGTGAAATTGCCTGCCTGGAGTTTCTTGGGGAGGTTTTGTAGGGATATCATCCAGGTTCACTTCTTCAAATATCCAATCTATTTCAGCTGTAATTGTCATATTTGTGCAAACTTTTTAGAAGTGGACAGTGGGGGAAATGAAGAGTAAATCAAAACTAGAAGGTCTGTCTCTTAGCCTAAGTTCTTCTGGGCAGCCTCTGACTGATTCCTTTTATAGGTTTTGCCAGATGGTTTTTGTTTTTACTGAAGGTATATATAAAAAAAGAAAATGAGAAAGAAAAAATCCTGCCCAGAAAGGGATGCTTTTTTCTTATGGGAAAGAACACTCAGTTGTACTTGGCACCTGAATGAAGTTGGGCTAATGAGTTCACCATTGTAAAACACTGAAATTCTCCCAAACATACTAATTAAGGTACTTTTTGTTTTTTCTGTTAGTTTTCACTTTGAAGGTACTATGAAAATGGCATGCTGAAAAACTGAGGGGCCAAGTTTGAAAGAAGTGATAGTCTCTACTTGGCAATTGGCCTTGCACTTGAATGACCTGGTGTGGAGACTGGTCTCTAAACTTTCTGGTGGTCCATACGCCTGGGCTGCAGTGTGTAGCTGTGCAGTTTAATGGTTCCCTATGGATCTGTGCAGTGCACAACCTGTGTAGCAATAAACAGTGGCCTAATGTAGTCCAACAAAAATATAAATCAGCATAGACACCTCAGAGATGTGTGCTGGTTTATAAATTATATGTGTGTGTGTGTGTGTATATATATATATATTCTGTTGCCAATTCACCTAGATTAAATATTGATGAAACTTGATTTATTTTTTTGAAGATAGAAAAATAAATGAATAGCAGTTATAACAAATTTCATCTATGCTCCAATGGATGGTTTCAAATACTCCTTGGGGTAGGTCTCCCTACTTTGGAGACATTGGTCTGGAAAGAATCCACATGGGTCTTCTCTATCATTCAGTCAGGGCAATGCGTTTATAGGGCAAGGTTGCTTCTTAGTAGTAGAGTACTTAAGAGTCTTACCACTCCCTACCAGGACCAAGTCTCACCTGCTAGTTTTCCATTTCAGAGTACACAGTCATTAATGAAGCCTGCCCTGGAGCTGAGTGGAATATCATGTGTCGGGAGTGTTGTGAATATGATCAGATTGAGTGTGTCTGCCCTGGAAAGAAGGAAGTCGTGGGTTATACCATCCCTTGCTGCAGGAATGAGGAGAATGAGTGTGATTCCTGCCTGATACACCCAGGTAAGTGTAGAATGGGAGACTTCAGGTTGCCTTCATGTTGTTGAAGGTAATGAACAGGAACGGGCTGAACACCTGAATTCCAGCAGGCAGCCAGTCAGGAGGCTGTAGTGCCATGATTATGAAAAGTGAAACAATTCAGCTCATTCTAACTAAAGGGAAAGGAATAAAAGGAGTCTGTACTCTTTTCAGGGTTAAACTTGTAAAGCTTTGCATGCATTCACTCATTCATTTAACAAGCAGACTGAGCAGCTTTATTACCGTGTCAGGTACTGGGAATACAACGATCAAACAAAAGACATTATTTCCAGCATTCTCAGAGCTTATAGCCTGGGGTGGAGGGTGGATATAGAGAACAGGCAGTGTAGTTGTACATTGTAGTTAAGTGCTATGATAGAGAAGCATGGGGTACTATGGCAGCATGGATGGGAATGGGGCAGGTGGGAGGAAAGTCAGTGAAGACTTGTTAGAGAAGGTGGGCAGCAGACTACACAAGGTGAGGAGGATCGGGAGAAGTAGTCAAGCCACAGAGGATAACATGTGCCCAGGTCCTGTGGCAAGAGCAAGCATGGGGTTTTGGGAAATGCAAATAGCTCAGTCTGGCAGAAGTGTGTATGTGAAGAGATACCTGGATAGATGGAGAGAGGGAGGGAGAGGAAGAGGGAATGAAAGAATGAGAAAATATTACGAGAGAGCGATCTGAAGGGAGGAACAGGAGCCAGATCCTAAAGTGCTCTGCAAGCTGTGCTTCAAAGTTTAGGTTATATGCTAAAGATATGTTGGTGACCTTGGAACTCTTTTAGTAAAGAAGGGAAAGCAGATTTTTCTCTTTAGCTGTAGTATGGAGAAAGAATTGGAAGACAGGCATGACTAGAGGCAGGAGAGAAGTAACGGGGACCTTAATAAACGTAGAAGCTCTATGGATGGAGACAAGTAGAAGGATTTGAGATCTGAGTGTGATCTGTTGGGTGGGACAGGAGAGGGAAGAGAAGAACAGAGTGAAGCCTGATGCTCTGGCTTCTGAGCTGGACATTTGGGAAATGGTCCCGGTGATATGAATCTGTCTTTGAATGAAATGAGACCTTCTAGTGATCACTTCTTTGTGGTGATTATTGACCTTCTGTTATTTTCCACTCAATATGTACAGTCAAAATACTACATTTTAAAATCAGTTGATACAGTTTCTTTCTCTGTTTTGTGATGTCACCTATTTGGTAAACAAATAGGATTGTTGTTTTTATGTGTTTTCTATATTTGAAAATACAAGCAATTGTATATTCATATATATTTTTCCCTTCTTACACAAAAGATAGCATACCATAAGCATTGCTAACCAGCTTGATTTTTTTCTCTTATTATTATTATTTTTTGAGACAGGGACTCACTCTGTCACCTGGGCTGAAGTGCAGTGGTACAATCATGTCTCACTGCAGCCTCTGCCTTCCAGGCTCCGGTAATCCTCCCATCTCAGCCTCCTGAGTAGCTGGGACTACAGGTATATGCTACCATGCCTGAGCAATTTTTGTATTTTTTGTAGAGGTAGAGTCTCTCGATGTTGCCCAGGCTTGTCTTTAACACCTGTGCTCAAGTGATCTGCCTGCCTCAGCCTCCCTAAGTGCTGGGATTACAAGCATGAACCCTGGTACCTGGTCTTGCTTTTTTCTCTTAACAATATATGCTGGAGATCACTCCACATCATTATAAAATCATGTTCTTCATTTGTTTGTATGGTTGCATTTAACGACATTGTGTGGATCACCATAGTTTATGAACATTTGGTTTGTTTCCACCCTTTAGTTATTAACAATACTACAATGACTGCCCTTAGGCATACATCACTTAGTATTTTTGCACGGTATCTACGAGGTAGATTCTTAGAAGAGGGATCACTGGGTCAAAGGGGGGTGCATATGTCACTTCCCAGCCTTGCTTTGCCATGTTTTCTCCATACATTTGGCATTTTTTTCTAGCAGTTTTCCCTAAGAGTACTGTTTTCCCTAAGCCTTGCAACAGAATGTGTCAATTTAGATGTTTGCCAGTCTCATAGGTGGGATCTCAGATGGTTTCAGTTTGCATTTCTGTCATTATGATAGATAATGATCTTCTCCCTGTTCTGGCAGTAGAGAAGGAGGATCAGGATCCAGAGACACCAATGGCAGGAATGTCAATCTGGCAGCACCAGGGTCCTCACTGGGCCAGTGTGGTTTCCTGTAGTTCGAATCTGTAAAGCTCTGCATTTGGCCCCCTGGCCCTTCTAGCAACTTTGTGAACTATCCAGTGTATTTTTCCTTTTTGACTGATACATAATATTTGTACATATTTATGGGGTACATGTGATATCTTGTTACTTGCATAGACTGTGTAATGATTAAGTCAGAGTATTAGGGTATCCATCGCCCTGGGTATTTATTATTTCTGTATTTAGTGTCTTTTTAGGATGGCCTTGTTCATCATGCCTACCTCTAAGGACTCTAATGTGACTATGTTAAGAAAGAGAGTTGGCCAGGGCTGCTGATATGGTTTGGCTCTGTGTCCCCACCCAAATCTCATCTTGAATTGGAATAATCCCCACAGGTTGTGGAAAGGGCCTGGTGGAAGGTAATTGAATCATGGGGGCAGGCCTTTCCCATGCTGTTCCCGTGATAGTGAATACATCTCATGAGATCTGATGGTTTTATAAGTGGGAGTTCCCCTGTACATGCTCTCTTGCTTGCCACCATGTAGGACACAACTTTGCTCCTCCTTTGCCTTCCACCATTGGAGGCCTCTCCAACCATGTGGAACTGTGAGTCAATTAAACTGCTGTCCTTTATACATTACCCAGTCCCAAGTATGTCTTTATTAGCAGTGTAAGAACAGGCTAATACAGCTGCTGAGGGCAGACTCAGTCCATTTGCCTCCTTAGCAGTGATGAGATAGGGAGTTAAAGAGGGAGAGTTGGCATGTGAGTGAAGACAGTCTTTGGAAGGCACAGTGACCCTGCAGGGACCCAGTTATGGGTCACATGACTACAGGAATTTGACAAATCACATAGTCATATCTCAATAGCCATGAGGGACTGTTTCCACAACCCTGCAGATACCAAAATCCACATATGCTTACCTCCTTCAGTTGGCCTTATGGAACTCCAGGGCTCTGCATTCTGTGAATACTGTATTTTTTAGCCATGGGGGTTGGTTGAATCCATGGATGTCAAACCAGTGAATACGGAGGACCAACTGTATTAGCAACTCATGTTCTCTAATAGAAGAGGACATTGGAAGAAGGGAAGCAAAATTAAGATGGTGTGGAAAGAGAGGGTCATGAGTCTCTCTTCTACAGCAACCACATGTATACACACTACAGCCCAAGTAATACCTAATTTCAGCCAAAAGCAAAGACGCATACTATCAGCTCAAAGAAACGCTGTTTATCTTATGAAGTTCAGAAGCTTGGATTAGCCATTCCTTTTTCCTTCATTCATTCACTCTAATAATATTTGTTGAACACTTACTATGCAGGAGACACTGTATTAGGTTAGGTGCTGTGGATTCCTGATAATGTTGGACAAGATACAGTCCTTGACTTGAATCTATTATAGGAAAACAGATAATAGCAGTTAAAATTGAGCATGCTATCTGCAATGGCAGGGATAAGAGTTCTTATTTTGTATTACAGATACTTGCTATGTGCAGGCACTTTACTTGTGTTAATTTAATTAAAAATGCTAACAGTCCTAAGAGGTAGAAACAATGTGTAATCTCCGTGTTAGGCCATTCTCACATTGCTATAAAGAAATACTTGAGACTGGATAATTTATAAGAAAAGAGATTTAATTGGCTTATGGTTCTGCAGGCCGTACAGCAAGCATGGTGGCTTCTGTTTCTGGGGAGGCCTCGGGCAGCTTTTACTCACGGCGGCAGGCAAAGCATGAGTGAAAGTAGGAGCACACGAGAAGAGGGAGGTGCCACACACTTTTAAACAACAAGATCTCAAGAGAACTCACTCATTGTTGCAAGGAAGTACCAAGGCGATGGTGCTAAACCATTCATGAGAAATCCACTCCCATGATCTGGTCGCCTCCCACCGGGCCCCACCTCCCTACATTTCAACATGAGCTTTGGGTGGGGACCCAGGTCCAAATCATAACACCAGGTTTGACACATGAGGACACTGAGTCTCAGAAAGCTTAAACAGTTTGCTCAAGGACACACAGCTGCACAATGGCAGAGCCAGAACTTAGTTCTCTGTCTTGTTAAGTGGGATTGAATCATTTGTATTTTTTCTCATGACCCCCACTCCCTCAAGAGACCATGTGTTTAAACTGGTCCTTGCTGGAGAATCATGCAAACCCCTCTGGTGTGGCCTGCTGGTGGGGCTAGGGGGAGCCTGAGTAATAGCACAGGAAGATATTTACTATCTATTATTAAATTCAAAAGTAAGTTACAAAAACAATGTACCATATGGAGTATAAGTCTAATTTTAAAAATGTGTGTGTATATGCAGAGAAAGAGTGTTAGCAGTAGTCTGCATGGTGGGGTTTTAGATATTTTTAATTTAATTCTTTTTGCTGGTCTAAATTTTCTAAAATTCCACAATAAATACATAACAAATTTATGCAAAATAATCTACATCGGTAGATTCTTCCTTTTCCTGCAGGCAATTTCATGTTACTTTAAAACACCAGCCACTAGCTGGGAAGCTGGTTGAGACCACCTTTCTAAACTCCCCAGTCTGAACCCTGGTGCTTAGTAAGGTGGTCTCAACCTCGAGATGAGAGGTTCTGCAGTTTCCTTGAGATGAGAGGTTCCACCTCAGGGCTCTGACACCTTTCTAGGCCCAGATACTCTTAGTTGAGACAGGACCCTGAGAAGGTGCAGTTGTGCTCCCATGCAGCTGATCAGAACCCACATGTGCTTTGGACTAACACTCCTCTTCTTGGGAATGTTTCAGGTTGTACCATCTTTGAAAATTGCAAGAGCTGCCGAAATGGCTCATGGGGGGGTACCCTGGATGACTTCTATGTGAAGGGGTTCTACTGTGCAGAGTGCCGAGCAGGCTGGTACGGAGGAGACTGCATGCGTAAGTAGACCTTGACCTAGCTCCATCTCTAGTGCACAGTGTCTGAGAGTCTCAGCTTATAATAGACCAAGATTTATCTCCTTGGAATCTGAGTTTTGGAAAGCCTGCAGCCAGAGGGCTTTCTAGGTAAAGCTAGAAAAACAAAGATGGGTTTCCATCTGTAAGGTGTGGATTGTGAACATCTGTTTGAATTCTTGGCCACAGGAGGTTTATGTCTATTCTTCAGGCTCCTCTTTCTAAGTGAGGCCAAGGCTTTCTGCTCTATCCATTTCAGAAGCAAGTGTATGGTAGCTTTGGTCAGCAAACAGTGAACACGTCTTCAGAAATGTTGTCTGTAGTGCATTGTACATATGAATTTCTGTTGGTAAATTTCTTGAATTCTGAATTAAATTCCTGGAACCCACAGCAAATTGCCAGCATGCCATTTGTCCGAGGAAAGGAATTCTTTTTGGGATCTGCTTGAGCTGAAAGAATTACTTAGTTTTTATTAGAGTTCTGTGAGTTTCAACAATTCTTTGAAAATGGAGTGGAAATCTAATCTCTCGTTCAATCCAAGATTCCCCTCTGCAGTGCCCTGATTGATGAATGTCCCTCTGACAGTCTGTATCTGGAGCAATGTACAAATTGCTGTGACTTTACTAACTTATTTGATATGCTTCCTACTTGAATCGGAAGCAGTTAGAATAGCCTTACAGTCAAATTTTACTCCTATGAATAGTATTCCAGTTTACAGAGATGGAGGATAGAGTGTGGTTTGTATCTTTGACTGATATAGTCTGTACTGACACACCATCACTTTCAAGACCTTATGGCTAAGGATGAGGTATAGAGCCTGCAGCTGAGAAGCTCAACTCTGTCAGGAGGAGAGGGGGTTGTTGGCACTTCCAGGTGAACTGGGTAGTTCAGTTATTTATAATACAGATACTTTTTTAAGTGTTGGTCTTGGTTGCAGATTTAAAACTTCGATGCCATTTTGGGTGGTTTCTAGTAAATTTAATTCAGTACCTGGTAGATTATGTTCCAGGTAGGTTAGCTGTAAGATTTAACCCTGGTCTTCTTTGGAAGCTGTTCTATGGAGACTGTTTTATATAATAAGCAGAATACAAGCTCCAGAATGAAACAGACCTGGGTTTAAATAATGTTTTTGTCTATCACTACCAGCGTGACCTTGGACAAGTCATCTAACTTGCTAATTTCAGCGTCCTTTTTTTTCCCCCTGAGAAGAAGTCTCACGCTGTCACCCAGGCTGTACTACAGTGATGTGATCTCGGCTTACTGCAATCTCCACCTCCTGAATTCAAGCAGTTCTCCTGCCTCAGACTCCCAAGTAGCTGATGCCCAGCTAATTTTTTTTTTTTTTGTATTTTAAGAAGTGATAATAATGCTGCCTACCTCACAAGGTTGATTTGAGAATTAAACGAGATGAGGTGCGTGAAGCATTTAATGCTCTAACAAGAGTAAAACCTCAATTAATGCAATAAATATATCATTATTATCCTATATGCTCCTTAATTGCTGAATTGGTAGGTGATTCAGAAATATAACTACTCTTCTTCCTTTCCTTCATTTTCCTTTCTTCTGAGATGGGGTCCTACTGTATTGCCCAGGCTGGCCTCAAATTCCTGGGCTCAACCAATCCTCCTGCTCAACCTCTCAAGTACTGGGAACTACAGGCACATGCCACTATGCTTGATGAAACTACTTTCAATAATAGTTTAAGATAGTCATAATTAGAGCTTTAGTGCAGAGCTGTAGATTTCACATTGACCTTTGGATTATATAAGATCACTTTGGGTTTTCCCTCCTTTGGATCATGTGGGTTGCTCTTTCTTGGTGTACATGAGAAGGAAAGAAGGGGGATTCAATGGGGTTGGAGTGGTAGGCAGGGGTGTGATCACACATGGCCTTTGATGTGGTTTGATACCCCAATCTCACCTTGAATTGTAATAATTCACATGTGTCAAAGGTGGAGCCAGGTGGAGACAATTGAATCATAGGGGTGGTTTCCCCCATACTGTTCTCATAGTATTGAATAAGTATCACGAGATCTGATGGTTTCATAAATAAATAGGAGTTCCCCTGCATAAACTCCCTCACCTGCTGCCATGTATGATGTGCCTTTACTTCTCCTTTGCCTTCCACCATGATTGTGAGGCTTTACCAGCCATGTGGAATTATGAATCCATTAAACCTCTTCCCTTTACAAATTACCTAGGCTCGGGTACATCTTTATTAGCAGTGTGAGAATAGACTAATACAGCCTTGTAGGTAGGTATGCTAGGTAAGCAATTTAGATGCTATTCCAAGTGCAGTGGGGGACCAAGGAAGAGTGGTGAAGTAGAGGATGGACCAAGTGCTCTGAGAACTAGATAAGAAAACAATCACAGGGTGAGGGGTTTCAGACAGGAGGTGAAGATCAAGCTATGCCTTTGCTCATATGTTGGCAAAACAGGAAGATATTTCAGGCAGAGGGATTGGATGGTCAGGGTGTGAAAATGCAAGGTGTGTTCAGGGAAGCATGTGAGATCAGGTATGATTAGAGCAAGGTGGTGGTGTGAGGGGTGGCAAACTCTGACTGTGCAAAGCATAGTGTGCCAGGGCTGAGACCTTGGACATGGTTCTGGAATGATGGATGGCTTAATCAGGGGAGTACCATTTGAGAGATAACTCTTGTAGCACAACTCCACTGGAGTGGAGGAAGACCATATCCAAAGGCAGCCATTAGGAGTGCTACATCAGTGGTTCGGGGGATGAAGAAGGGAGACTAGAGTGAGAAGAGCTTTGAAGGAAAGTGACAGGACTCAAGACTCGCTGAAGGCAGCAGTGAGGAGTCTCGAGAATTTGTCTTTCAAATTCTTTGTTTGATTAACTCTCTAGAAGTTGATGCTGTTAAGTGAATGATAAAAGGGAAAAGGTTTGTTGGGGAAAGAAAGTGAGTTCCAGCTGAAATATGTTGGAATTTGGACATCTATAAGAGGCCCTGCAGACAGTAGAAAATAGGTTTGTGGAGCTCGAGAGAATTTTGGAGACTTGAAATATGCATATGGATGTTATAGATGGAAGAATGAGCTGAACAGAGCACCATGGGCAGAGGAAATAGCAACAGATGTAAAAGGAAAGGACAAGAAGACCAGGACGGAGACGGGAAAAGATAGGTGGGAGGAAACCCAGGAAGGAGTAGGGATCTGGAAGCTGAGGGCAGCGTTTCCAAATCAGTCAGAAAGTTCACATAGGATGGAGGCAGTAAAGAGGCTTTTGCATTTGATGGCTAGCGTGTGATTGGTGACCTGAGCAACAGCAGTTTCATATAAAGATTTGTCAGGGTGCAGTGGCTCATGCCTGAAAGTTCAGCACTTTGGGAGACCAAGACAGGTGGATCGCTTGAGCTCAGAAGTTCAAGACCAGCCTGAGCAACATGATAAAACCCATCTTTACAAGCAATACAAAAATTAGCCATGCCACTGCACTCCATCCTGGGCAGAGAGAGATACTGTTTAAAAAAAAAGAAAAAGAAAAAGAAGGGCAAAATTTAAAGGGGAAAAGTGGAGATACAGAATACAGACAACTTTTAAATAAGCTTAATCAAGCAAGGAAGGGGAGAATCAAGGTGATAGTTTATAAGAGAAAAAAACAGCTGTGGAAAAAATGCCAATGAAGATGGGAAAGGCCAGGTGCAGTGGCTCATACCTGTAATCCCAGCACTTTGGAAGGATGAGGCAGTCAGATCACTTGAGGACAAGAATTCAAGGCCAGAATGATCAACAAAACAAGATCCTGTCTGCGCAGAATATTAAGAAAATTTAGCCAGGCATGTTGGTGCATGCCTGTAGTTCTAGCTACTCAAGAGATTGAGGGGGGCATTACTTCTGCAGCAAAGGATTTTGAAGCTGCAGTGTGCTATGATTGCGCCACTGCATTCCATCCTGAGCAACAGAGCAGGGCCTCATCTCTGTCTGTTTAAAACAAACAAACAAAAAAGATGGGAAAGAGTTAAACAGGTTTTAAGCTAATGTGAGGAATGTGTCGGTAGGAGAGACACAAGATACTAAAGTAAGAATCATTGAAAAAGTTAAGACCATGTTATCCTGAAGGAGAAGAACTTCTGTGTGATCAAGAACAAAAGTGAGAGTTAAAGGAGAGGGAATTTCCTTTTCTGTCCTCGGTAGGCTGAGACAGGAGGGAAAAATTATTTATAGATAGCATACCCAGTTTCTTAGTAATTATATGGCAGAAAGTGTGCTGAGCACTTTATGTGCAATGTCTTGTTTTATCTGTACCATCACCCTATGAAAATACATAATCCCATTTTATAGACGATGACACTAAGACTCACAGATGTGGAGTAACTTGCCTGAGGTCATATACTTAGGGGTAAAGCCCAGGGCGATTCCAGACCTCTTACTCTTGTTCTTAACCACAGTCCTAGCCTGCCTCCTGCTGGTGAGTTCCCCTGTTTTCTCTGGAAAGTAGGGAGTGAAATCTCTGCTGAGAAGAGAGTAGAAGTGAGGCTGGGGCTTGAAAGTACCAAAAGTTTGGGCAGTCACTTGAGGAACAAGAAAAGGCACTAGCTGGTGTTAAGCTTAAAGCATGTCCAAGCAAGACAGAGGATCCAGTTGAGGCCAGAGCACTTATGGAGGTGATGCAGCCAGTTAGGATGTTGGCTGATGCTCTCTGGAAGTGCAGTAGCAGAAGTGAGTAAAACCAATTCTTTTGTTGATCCAAGAATAGGCTGAGACGTGACTGACCAGGGACCCTGGTTGGGAAGGACATGAAACCATGTCCTTAGGGTTAGGGTTAGGGTTAGGATAGAGGGGGAATAGGGACAGGCAGTTTTAAGTGGAAAAGCAGGCTTGGCAGTAATAAAGTAATGGAACACGTAGGTGGAAAGGGTATTATGGTCAGAGAGTAGAGTTTCTTAATTGAAGCTTTCAGGAGGTGGTGGTGATAAAGTGTTCAGTTTTTCTTTTTCTGTTTAACAATCTCAAAGGACAAATGTTTGT